CTCTCTCGCTGTGTCTCTCTCTGTCAAATAAATAAATAAAATCTTTAAAAAAAAAAAAAAAGATTTTATTTATTTATTTGAGTGGGACAGAGAAAGAGAGGGACAGCACAGAGGGAGAGTGAGAGGGAGAAGCAGATTCCCCACCAAGCAGGGAGCCCGATACGGGGCTCGATCCCAGGACCCTGAGATTATGACCTGTGCTGAAGGCAGATGCTTAACCAACCGAGCCACCCAGGCATCCTCAAAGAATTTTTAGATGTGATTAACATTTACAATCAGTTGGCTTTAAGTGAAGCAGATTACCCTCCATAATGTGGGTGGGCCTTATCCAATCAGTTGATGGTCTTCAGAGCAAAGACTGAGGTTTCCCAGACAAAAAGGAATTCTGCCTCAAGACTAATCTAGAAATCCTGCCTGAATTTCCAGCTTGCCAGCCTGCCCTACAGATTTCAAACTTGCCAACGCCACCCCCTCCCCACCAAATGAGCCAATTCCTTAAATGTGGCTCTCTTTCTTTTAACCCTGTGGCTTTTTGTATGCAGAGCTCCTGTTCTCACTCCACACTCTGCTGTCTCTCACACCCCAGAGTCATAATATAAGCCAGGAGCCACTGGGACCTGGTCTCTTGAGGACATACTGAAGGAGGATTTAATGTGAAGGAGAGCAGGTGAGCCAGGAAGAGTGCTATTGAGGAGGAAGGGAAGATGTCAGGAAGATGGGGTCAGCAAGGACAAGGGAGGATGTGGTAGAAAAAATACTAAAACTGATAGTTAATGCTCAGTGAGTGCCTCGGAAGGGTCGGCACTGTTCCGAATGCGTTGCTTATATTAACTTCATTTTACAGGTGAGGAAACTGAGGCTCAAAGTCACATGGCTGGTTCATGGCAGAGCAGTGGGCAGTGTGCCTCCAGGGCCCAGCGCTTAACTCGTGTCACACACAGGGAAAGGACAGTGCTAGGAAGAGGTGCCACTCCTCTGACGGAGGATAAGAGGGAGAGGCTGGATGAAGCTGGAGCTTCTATTCTATTCTATTGGGCTGGAGGAAATCCAGCTGCAGTCTTTATTGGGCTTCTCCTTAGAACTACACAGAAGTTCTGGGATCTTATGGACCCCACAACACAAGGAAAATGCCTCTGATAATCTGTCTGTGCCTAAAACCACTGAGATGCTGCATTAGTTAAAAATGTGTGGCCTACACGTAGGAGACTCTCTGAGTGATAGTGCCTCCAGCTATTTCATATAATAAAAAGCCTGGAGGCAGCCAGTCCCTGGAGTGGTTTCACAGTTCCCTGATGTCTCCAAGAAATCGAGATCTTGTCATCCCTATATTTTATCATCCTCAGTGTATGGACTTTTTATTCTTAGGCTTGTTTCCTCATGGTCACAGAATGGCTGCCAGAGCTCCAGAGTTCACAAAACCATCTTTGGGGCAGAGAGCAGGGACAGACCACCTGGATCTCCCTCCCAGACTTCCCCTAGGTCCTCTTGGTCAGAACTGAGTCCTAAACTAGTAAGCAGCAAAGAGAACATTAGCTCACATAGTGTAGAACAATCATGGGTCACCAGCTGGGGCTGAAGGAGAGGCCCACTTTCCTGTGCAAGTTGCAGCCTGAACGAAATATGGGTCCTTTAAGGAAGAAGGGAGTGTGGCTGACAGGTAGGAAACCAACTGTGTCTGTCACAGAAGCCCTCTGTCCCAGTCCACTGGGCTCTTTCAGGTCCATGGTTCTCATGCCACAGGACACACTTGGGACATGGGAATTTCAGACAAGACTAGGGGCCCTGTGTCTGGGGTCCAGCCTCCCTAAGTGCACTCAGCAGCCTCCTCCTGTGTTTAGGAAGGGTGTTGACGGGGAGCTGATCATAGTCTCAAAAGAATATGGGGACTAACAGGCCTTTGCTTCCTTCTGGTTAGGAGAAGCCACACCACTTCTCAGATACTCTTCCCTCCCAACGTTTTCTCTTCCCAGAATCCTAGCAAAATATTCTCAAAGATGAGACCTTTGGGAAAAAAAGAGAAAAACAAATGTCTTTCTGAGAGCTTCTTCTCTTGGCCAGTTAAGACAAACCTGTCTCTAGGCCTGGCTCTCCTTATGCCTGTGGTGGTTGGGGGGACAGGGACAGTCATGCAGATTTCAACAGGTTTTCATGCCACTGTGGTGGTGGTAAGTAGGAGGCCTGGGCCCCAGTGTTTTCGTCAGTAAAATGGTTTAGAGGAAATGCCTGGAGCGGGGATGGGAGAATTCCGCACAGTTTGCAAATTAGATATAAAGGCCTTGGCCAATTCCCTAGCGAAATGCCCAGTCAGACCCATTCCTACCTGGACAGTGCGGGTGGGAGACCCAGGGAAATGGGGGGTAATATGGGTTGTAGGCAGATGTGGGTGTTTTAGACCTGGCTCCGTGATTATACAAGATGGAGGACTGGGTGCCAGGGAGGGGTGAGGATGCTGGTGGGGTAGACGGTCAGTTAAGAAATAACGGAGGGGGGTGCCTGGGTGGCTCAGTCGGTTAAGCGTCTGCCTTCGGCTCAGGTCATGATCCCAGGGTCCTGGGATCGAGCCCCGCATCGGGCTCCTTGCTCGGCGGGAAGCCTGCTTCTCCCTCTCCCACTCCCCCTGCTTGTGTTCCCTCTCTCGCTGTCTCTCTCTCTGTCAAATAAATAAATAAGCCTTAAAAAAAAAAAAAAAAGAAAAAGAACTAACAGAGGGTACCCAAAGTCACATTTTAGTATCGAGAACAGGGGTTCTTAACTGGGGTGCGCCAACCGCAGACCGCACGCGGTAATTCAGAGTCCATGAACTTGGCTTGAAAAATATTACCACTTTCTTTCTGGCTGCTATGCCCTTGGTTCTGAAGACTTCGGTTGGAGTAGCAATGTCAACAGGAAGCACGGAGCTTTCCATCTCCCTTTATAGGTGCTGTAGTTCTCTTGAAACACCACTTACGCCCATTCCTACTTCAAATTTGTAGTTTATTGGGCTCCCAGCTAGATCTCGTTATTTAATGCGTTCATAAAGAAACCCATGAATTACAACATCACACACTTAAATGTTTTCACAACTGTATTTCAACATAACTAGCTTCCTTTGTAATCCTGCGTATTTCATTTTAGGCATACGAAAATATTGTTTTGAGGCGGGATCCGGGGCACAGAAAATGGTCACGGCTCCCTCCCTCACCCCCCACCACCCCGTGCCCAGAGGGGCCTCATGGACAATGGCCCAGAGCAAGGGCAGGGGTTCAGCTCCTGCGGGAGGGACCAGATCAGAATTCCAGCAGGCACTGCCCCTGCTCCAGGAAATCTCCGGGTAGGGAGGGCAGGGGTGAGGCCTCCCCAGGGACCTCTCACTGAGAGCTTCAATTTGATGGAATGGTGTTGGGCCTCTGCTGTTCATTGCGGAAAAGGAGAAAGTCGTTAGCTTCTTACCTTAAATCACAGGAGGATTTAGGGAGGATGAGGACAGAGCCCCGAGCTCACTGTGGAATAAAGGGAGGGGGAGCATCCCAGCATCGGTTCTTAGGGAATTGTTTCGACTGAATTTAAGGACACAAAAGCCAAGAGTGCGGAGAAGAGGTGGGAGGAGATTCTTGCAGAAGCAAGTCTCCCACACCCTGGTGGAGGTCCTTGTGCCGGGTGAAAGTTGAGCCATTCCCCTTTCCAAACAAGCCTCCGGGCGCACAGGCCTTGGTGCACGCATGCACCCCGGACTCTTCCCTGCAAGGACAGTTCCTCCGTCTCTGCCTCCCAGGAGCTGCCACCCGAACGCATCAGGCAAGCTCTGCTCTGGGTGACGCGGGTGGCCAGGCTCCAGCTGTAGGCCCCCGTGGTCTTGGGAGCAGAGCTGCACCATTGTATGAGGACACCCTTCATTTCACAAAGGAGGAAATCCAGGACACAGATGCTCTCACTCAATTGTCCCCCATCCCTGAGTTTAGCTTCCTTATCTCTGTCAAGACCTTCCAAGCTTCCCTACCTGCCACAGGGCAGATCCCACCCTTGTCCCGCAAGAGGAAGGGGGGCACACAAGACTTGTCAGAGGTCCTGCAGGCCAAGTCTGAGGGAAGCTGAGCCCAGATCCCCAGCCAGCCTATAATTGGACTGGCTTCCTGTCACTCATAGGGTGAGACCAGAACCCATGAACTCCTTCCCACTGCTCAGCAGCTCACGTCCCTATGGAGAAACTTCCCAGGTTTGAGATAATTGTAGGGAAATGACACATAAAATTTTAATTCTGGGTTGGGGGATAGACTGGAGGGACACCGAGGGATGATGGGAAAGGCCTTGGAGCCTGAAACCCTAGAAATTTTCAGGGGAGCCACTCAAAGAGACAGGCCAGGGCTACCCACTTCTGCTTCCTGCTGTGCTCTTCGCTGCGCATGATACCATGCGGTCTAGTCAGGGCAGAGAAATGATCGACAGGACCCCGGGACATCATCCATTCATTCACGCATTCCTCCACGCATTCATCCATTCACAGATACTTGTTCCAAGCAGGGGCTCACAGTGTGTAATGGGGAGGGGAGGCGGAACCACACACACTGTAAATCCTGTCCACAGAGGGCCTGGGGCAGAGGGAGGAAAAGACCCATTCTCAAAGGAGGATTGTGGAGAACTACTTCCTCGATGGCGGCCTGAGGCAAAGTCTTGAAGGATGTGGAGGATTTTCCTAAGTGAGGAGGGGGATGAAGGGCCTCCTAAGCAGAGGTTCTGAAAGAAGCCCCAGGCCCACCTGGAGAGTACTGGGACTGTGTACTGGGCTGCACTGGGCAAAGAGGACTGTGTGTGTGATGGCTCTCAGGAGAAAATGGGGTCCTGGGGTTAGGTTCATTTAGGAAGTTCTGGATTAAACAATGTTGAACAGACCTCTCTGCTGCAGGACTTGTCAGAACCTTTAACCTTTTCACCTGCAGGGTGAGCCTCATGGGGTGTCCCTGGACTGGCACTCTGGCTATCCACGCTGGGATAAGGAACATGGGAGGCAGTGGGATTGTATGATGTTAGAGAGGAGGCAAGGGGCTCTGAATGCCAGGCCAACGAGACTTTTGTTCTTGGGACCAGTGAGGTGTCTCAGGAGGCTGAAGGATTTAACTAAGGGATCTTGACTCAGGGGACTTGGGGCGGTTTAGTAACCAGCAAGGACAGGGCTATGGCAGAACATGGCCAGCCCCTCCCTCCTTGACAGCAGGGTCACTTCTGGGAGAGGAAGCAGAATCCACGGACACAGGCAGCAAAGGAGCTCAGAGAGTCAGGCTAGAAGGTACGGAAGGCTGGGCCACCGTTGAATCCAAGCATGAGTTAAGACCATGGTGGTCAAGGCTGCTAGGTTCAAATCCTGCCTCCACCACTTCCCAGCTGTGGGTATCTCACCCCAACTCCCTGGAGCCTCAAGCTGCTTTTTTTTTTAAATAGACATTATTTTTAGAGCAATTTTAGGTTGGCAGAAAACTTGTGCCAAAGTACAGGAAGTTCCATATACTCCCTCCCCCTGCCTCACAGCTCCCCTATTACTAACATCTTGCATCAGTTTGGGACATTTGTTACAAGTGCTGAACCAATACTGATACGTTGTTATCAACTAAAGGCGGCAGTTTATTTGGGGGTTCACTCTGTGGTGGACGGTTCCACTGGTTGTCACTACCGCATAATGTCATGTATCCACCATTACAGTATCATGCAGAATAGCCTCGCTGCCCAAAAAGTGCCCTGTGTGAGCCTCCGGTTTTACCATCTGTAAAATGAGTATGTGAAGCCCATGTGAGCCCCTCAGACTCCGTTGGTTGCTGATTTAGGCTTCTTGACTAATGGGACGGACATCAACCAAGTGTTTTTCTAAATATGGTCTGCTATCCATCAGAATCCCTGGACTTGGGGGAGGGGGTTTTCATTCAAATATTCTCAGGCCTCAGCCCCATACCCTGCTAAGTCAGAATCTCTGGGGTAGTGCCCAGGAATCTGCATTTTAACCAGGCCCCTGGTGCCCAGGGCCAGGACTAGGGGTACCTGGAAATTGGTTCTACCAAAGCTGTTCAAATGCAAACAGAAAAATCCTAGCCATTGTCAGGTTAAAGCTCAGGAGAGATGCCCATTCCTGGGAGGAGGCAGGAGTAGAACCGCTTTCCATAAAGCCTGGAAAAAGCCCATTTCTGCCTTCTGCAGCTCCCAGCCCACAAGCCTGCTATTGTTTCATATCTCGAGTGCTTATCACTCACCCAAAATAACCTGCGTGCAGCGTCTCACCAGCTGCAACACTCTCTGCAACTCCCTCAATTTAGCAGCCAACACGTTCGGCTCCGCGACAGAGCCCAGGGCCCAGGAAGGGGCCCCTCCCTCGTGGCCGTCTGTAGGGGGTTAAATGGTGTCCTCCCAAAATTCGTGTCTGCCCAGAACCTCAGAATGTGACCTCACTTGAAAATAGGGTCTTTCCGGATGTAATGAGTAAGGACTGGGATGAGGTCGTGCTGGATGAGGGCGAGCCCGGGTCAATCTCTGGTATTGCTCTAAGGACAGACGGGGACGGACAGAGCTCCACCGAGAGCAGGGGGCCGTGTGAGGACGGAGGCAGAGACTGGAGGGAGGCAGCGACAAGGCCAGGCACACCAAAGAGGACGGGAGCCACCAGAAGCTAAAAAGAAGCAAGGAAGGATTCTGCTCTAGAACCTTCAGAGGGAACCTGGCCCTGGCGACACCTTGATTTCAGACTTCCAGCCTTCAGAACTGTGAGAGAATACAGTCCTGTGGTTTCAAGCCTAGTTTGTGGTGATTGGTCCCAGCAGCCTTAGCAAACCAATACACCATCTCTGCCCGCCCCTCAGCCCCACTACAGCCTTGAAGGAAGGACCCCCACACGTGGGCGAGTCTCCAGATGGACGTTTTTATGTGGCTGGTTGCGATCAGAGCTATTTTCTGCCAACCAACATCTCTGAATCCTGCAGCTACGAGGCCTGTTTCCTACACCGGGACAAGGCCCCTCTCTCCTCCGCCCGGAAGGCGATAGTCCCAGAAGGGCTGGACCAGAAGTGACAAGCAGACAGGGGTCCCAGGGGCAGTATCCGGCAGGCGGTGCCATGGGGCAGTCCCTGGGCTCAACCAGGGGTCCGGCTAGACGGGTCACTACAGCTTCATGCCGCTCCGGCGCCGTGAGTCCTTCCGGGCAATGGGGCTGAAGTTCACGATCTCCTTGTAGAGGTGCTCTGCGAAACACAGGCTGGCTCGAGGTGTGCAGGGGGTGCTGAGGGCAAAAGAGAGTCCCCTCCCCCGACATAACACGGAGCAGAAGTCTGCTCAGGGAGCAAGCAACGCACGCAGGAGACAATATCTGCTCAGAGAGGAGGCGGCAGTGGGGATCCCGGAGGGCGCGCACGGGCCAGCTGAGGCCAGGCCTGGGAACAGAGCGGGCAAAGCAGGGACAGGCGGGAACCCCGAGGCCCCCAGCTCTTACGCTTCCATTCATCCACTGTGAGTTTCTCATGTTCTAAGGAATCATCAAACGGCTGCGGGGCCTCTGTCTCCTCCTCAGGGTCTCGGAAGGGCTCAAAGAAGGGGTGGGCGAGGGCCTGTGAGGCCGTCAGGCGCTTGTCCACATCCAGCTCCAGTATCTTCTCCAGCAGGTCTATGGCTGCAGCGACAGAGCTGGCGAGTCACACCCCAGGCCCCGCAGAGCCCCGCCCGCTGGGACAGCCAGCAGCCCCCCCCCACCAGGAGCCAGGCCCCAGCACTCACCCTGGGGGCTGGCGTGCGGGAAGAGCTGAGAGAAATCCTTCTTGGGGCTCTGTGGCAGGGCCTGGATGTAGGATTTGGCCTGGAAGACCGAGGAGCAGTGAGTAATCCCCCACGGTCAGCCTCTCGGGGCTCAGGCCTTGGGGTGAAGGGTGGGGACTCCAGAAAAGCCCCAGAGCCGGGCTGAAGGCTCAGGTCAAAGTCCAAAGTGGGATGAAGGCAAGAAAGAGCACCTGCCAGGGCAAAAGGAGGGGACGGGTGAGCCCTCCTTCCCATGTGGGCCTAGAGCCCACGGGACCCCGGTTAGCCAAGTGCACGAGCCTAGGCCCGTCTAGACCCACTTGCCACTCACCGCTTTGTCATTCAACTTCTGCACAAACTCTGCGCCCGGCACCCCGGTCACTTTTAGGATCTGGGACAGCTGGTCCAGGTCTTGGCAGAGGGTTAAGGCTCAGCCTCGCTCTCCCGCCGCCCATCCATCACTCCCACCCGGGCGCTGAGGCAACCATCCAGGAGCCAGATGCGCTTTCAGGGGAGGGCGCAGGTCTCTGGAAGGCTTCCCACCCGCCTTACCCCTCCTGGATGCGCCGCCTTCCCACCCCCATCCCACCCAGCCAGCCACCCTCACATGGGTCTCTCCGTCACCTTCCCCCACCCTCACACTGAGTTCGGCACCGCAGACCCCACGTATTCTCCTCAACACCCGCACAGCGTGTGTGTGCCAACACGTGAAGTCTTTTCTACATGGTGGTGGAATGGCAGGTGACTGCTTTTGGGCAGTTCCCTTATCTGCATTTTAAAATCATTCTACGGTGAGGGGCACCTGGCTGGCTCAGTAGGTGGAGCGTCCGACTCTTGATCTCAGCCCAGGTCTTGGCCCCAGAGTCATGAGTTCAAGCCCCTTGTTGGGCTCCACGCTGGGTGTGGAGCCTACTTTAAAAAAAAAATAAACAAACAAATAATACTGTTCTACAGTGAGCATGTATCGCTTTCGCATTAACAAAAAAAAAAAGATTTAATCAAGTGTCTGTTGAAGGAGTGAATCCCTGGAGTTTGGCTTTCCCAGCAAAGGATACAATCTTTCCCCTTGAACAGAGTTTTCCCCGTCAGCATCTCTGCCATGATACAGCCCACAGACCAGATGTCCACTGCAGAGGGAGGGGAGAACGAGCTGAGCCGGCGGTCAGTCAACCCAGAGTAACCAAAACGGCTTTGGAGGAGTCCCCAGAGAAGACCCCTGGCCCCTCCCTGGGCAGCTGACCACTGACCAGTCTGGTTGTAGTGCATCCAGCTGAGGATCACCTCAGGGGCCCGGTACCAGCGGGTCACCACATAGCCTGTCATCTCAGCATCTGCATGCCGGGCCAGCCCGAAATCCAAGATCTATGACTCAGGGGACACAGGGAGAAAGAGCTGCTGCAGACAGGAGGCTCCCAGGGGAGAGGGGCCCACCCCGAGGCCAGGCTGACCCTGCCTGAGCCCGCTCACCTTCAGCTCGCAGTCCTCGTTCACGGCCAGGTTGCCCGGCTTCAGGTCCTAGATGAGAGGAGAGAGCGAGCGCTGGGCTGAGAGGTGGAGACAGGAGCTTGTCCCCCTTCCTCTCTCTCTGGGTGTCAGCCTTCTTGTGTGTAAAATGGGGGCTGGCCTACATGTCCTCTTGGGCCCATCCAGCTCTAAAATACTCTTGGTTCTTGGAGCCTAAATCACCCAGCTCAAGGCTCGCTTTGTTTGCAGCATCCAGAAAGTTCCCCAGAACACAGCATTCTTCTGAGCAGGCCTTCCTGGGCCAAGGTTGGGTCTGAAAAATCCACATTCCAAGTTCCAGAGGATTTTCGCCTCCCCACTCCTTTCCTCCTTCCCGGCTGTGGAGAATCCCTCCGGGGTGGAGGGGCCTCTGAGGACCACTGCAGAGAAAGCACTCACCCTGTGGATGACCCCAGCTGAGTGGATGTACTGTGTACGAGAGAGAGAGAGAGAGAGAGAGAGAGAGAAGGGTGAGTCCAGCTTCCATACTGGGAGCTTCAGGCTGGCTCCAAACCCCTCCCACCCTGTCCCACTGTGCTCTTCCAGCCCCCACGGCCTGGCATTCCCCAAACCTTGGGTCTCAACACCAAGGCGCCCCCCTCGGCCACCTTCCCGACCCCCCCGCGCACCTTGAGACCCTTGAGCATCTGATACACCAGGTACTGGATCTTGTCCTCACTGAACTCCATCCCCATGATCTTCTGCAGGTCCGTCTGCATGAAGGGCATCACCAGGTAGCTGCAAAGCACAAGAGCTTCTTGCCAGCCCCAGCCCCACCCAGCCCCAGGTCTGAGCTCAGATGAGGTGCAGGGACTATGGCAGAACAGAGGGCTTAGAAGTGGCCTCCGTGTGCAAGACCCAGCCCCATCGCAGCCAGCCAGACCCCGACACGGGCTTCCTGGGTTCTGGCTCCCAGCCTGGCCACGGCGGCCGCCCCATTAGCAGAGCTCAGGGTCAGCATTTTGGCTGAAGTGTGCTCAGGAAAACCAAATGGAGCTGTGCTCCCTCTCTTCAAAGGCGCCCTCTCCTTGCCCGCCTCCGCGCCCCCCAGAAAGCCACAGCTGTGACTTAGGAGCACCTGCCAGGATTTCCTTCTGCTTCTGTCCAAATACTTTCTCCCCCAGACGGTCATGCCCGGCTGGGAGAGCTCCACAAACCACCAAGAATGTCTGCCCTTCCAAGAAGGAAGTAATCAAACAACTTCCAGGAGGGCAGAAGGAAGGAGTAGCTGAGCCACGGCACCCTCCGATCGGATTGCAAAACAGGTCAAGCTCAGCAAAATATAGCTATTGCTCAAGGTAGTAACGGCAAAGTCCAGAACAAAAGATGATAGATTTAAAAAGGAATATTTACCAAAAAAAAAAAAAAATGTGGTGGAAGCCATCTCTATGAGCCTATGATTTTTTTTTTTAAGATTTTATTTATTTGAGAGAGAGAGACTGAGAGCACGCGCATGAGAGCATAAGCAGGGGGAGGGGCGGAGGGAGAGGGAGAAGCAGGCTCCCTGTGGAGCAGGGAGACTGATGACTCTGGGCTCGATCCCAGGACTCTGGGATCATGACCTGAGCCGAAGGCACCCTGAGCCTGTGATTTTCTGAAGCTTTCTTCTACCGGATCATCCCCTCTCCCCCATGGGGGCCCTGCTCCATGCACGGTCCCCTCCCCACTGTTGTCCTTCACCTCCGCATGGACCCTCTCTTCTCAGCTGACAAACCTGCTGAAGTCTGACCATGCTTGAACCACCTTCCCTTGACTTGTTTCTTCAAAGAGCCACCCCTTCTCCCTCTTTCCCTCCGCAACCAAACTTCTAGAAAGAATGGTTCATACCTCTTGACTCACTGCCTTACTTCCAATCCCCTGACAACCTGACGTCTGCTCCTGCCCCTCCGAAACCACTCTGATCAGTCTCACCAACGGCTGCCCAGCACACGCCCAGCACACGCTCCCGGGGCTCCCTTTCTTCCTATCGGACCTCTTGCAAAGTCTGACCCTCCCTCAAGATTCTCTGTTGATCTCTTAATCGACAGTATTGTATCGTATTCTACCTGAGCCCAGACCTTCCTGAGCTCCAGATTTATGTGCAACTGCTGATTAAACACCCGAACATTTATAGGCTTCTTAAAAGTTGTGTCTAAAACAGAGTTCATTATCTTTCTCCCAAGATCTGTTCTCCTTCCACCTTGTATTCCAAGCAGGAGCCTGGCATCCTGACCTACACCCCTTCTCCCGGCCACTGCGTCTCCCAACAGATAAGACCTTTTGACAGTCCTGTCTCCTGATGGGTCTCAAGTCTGCTCTCAGCATCACCTCCGCCTTAGTTAGATCAAGGTCTGAGACACCACTCTCCAGGCTTTCTCTGCTCCTAGAGCTGCTCCCTGTTCCCCCCCCGCCAAAGTGCACCCCCAAATCGATCTGACTACTCACCCCAATGTTCAAATCCTCCATGGACTTGAGGCTGCCTGTGGGATCAAGTCTGGGCTCTTCCCTTGACCAAACCAGCCGTTGGCCTTCACTAGTCACACTGAACTTACCCATATTCCCCTCACAGTCCAGTCTCAGGCCCCATGGCCTTGCCTTTGTCCTCGCAGTTCCTCCTACCTACTATGCCTTCAGCACCTTTACCTCACGTGAACATCTACTCACCCTCTGGCGCTGAGTTCGAGCATTGCCTCCTCTGTGAAGCCCCGAGGCAGCATGCAGCCCCCCCCCGCCCCGGCCCCGACCATACTTAGAGCACCCACCGCACTACTGTGAGTCTTCATTTAGAAACTGTACCCCCACCCTGCCTGGGAGGGGGTGCTGGTCCACTTTAAATTCCCAACGCTAAGCCCAGCAACTAGCTTTATAGGAAAAAAAACTTAAGAATCACTGCATTAAATTTAAAATGAAAGCATCCTAACAAAGGGACCTTCGGCTGCATTTAAAATAGGGGTTGGGAAAAAAATTTAAAAATCCACCTTCTCAAAGTTTCCTACGTTGTAGACCAGGCCAAAGCCATGCATTTAACAACTAAATTTTCTGGCTCCGTGTGACTCTGTCACACACCCCATCAGCCAGAGGGGACCAGGGCTTCCTGCTAGGAAGAGCCCCAAGGTCCAGACCCACACCTGGGTCCCCACGGATTGGTGAGGTAAGTTGGTGCGGACCCTGTGAGGACTGCCAATGCGGTCTTGGTGGTATTAAAGTGGGTAATAAGAGAAGCAGATGAGCAGACAGCTCCTGTCAGGCAAGCACCCCACAAAGCCCCTCCCATCTCTTCTTGCCCACCTTTCTCTCCACCCCCTCCCCCGCCCCCCGCTGAAAGAATCTCCAGAGAGAATCACACAGCGGTGAGCAGCCCAGGACAGGAAGCCCGCTGCCCAGAAGGGCGAATCTGGACTCTCCCCTAGCCGGCTCCCTAGCGGCAAGCAAGGCCTGCAAATGCCCTAGAACTCAGTGCAGCCCGACTCACAAGTCATGGAAGCTGCGCAGGGAGGAGGCTGAGGTGAAGACATCCAGGAGCCCGATGACCTGGGGAGAAGGTTGCCAGTGAAGCTGGGCAGCCACCACAGCCCTCTCCCCCTTTCCATGGGGCCCAGCCATGCACACAACCATCCGCCCTTTCCTGATACACCGTCTGCGGCAGGAGGCAGGTTCCCAGCCTTCTTGGGAGCAGTAAAAAGGGCAGAGGGATCCCCTTAACTGGGAGGGAGCTTGCAGTGCACAGTGATGGGAAGTCAGGCTGGGGAGAAGGGGAATTGCCCCCCAAGTCTGGGGTTCAGGGCAGGCGTGCAAATTCACTCTCAACTCAAGGAGGCAACCACAAGTGGTGAAGGGAATGGGAGGGAACAGGGAAGGGGGTCTTCCAGCCAGCAGGCTCCCTGCCCTTGACCTTGGGTCTCCCACCACATCCATCCTTGCCTGCCAAAGGGCTGGTTCGGAGCCAGGGGCAACGTCGCCCCTGGCTGGGGGCCATGGGGAGGGGTTTGCTGAAGAGGAATGGGGCTTAATATTTGTCCACGATATTTTGAAATCATTTTACCAATCTAGGTATCCTAGAGCAAAGCCTGGTTGTTAGGCCCAGCGCTGGGTGGCTAGTCTTCCCAGCTGTTTCTATCAGACAGGATATTCTAATGGTTATGCACTGAGGCCTGGGGCCAGGCTGCATAGGTTCAAATCCCAGCTGGGCCACTGACTAACCATATAACCATTTAGTCTTCCTGTGCCTTGGTTTCCCCTTCTGTACATGGGAGTAATAGTACTCAACTCCTGTGATGTGAGGGTTAACAAGTTAGTTTACGCAAAGCTCCGACATAGCACTTGGCACACAGGAAGTGCTCAAGTACCTATGGTTATTGTTATCAGAGCCACGTGTGGAAGCCACATTAACCAGGATGCTGGGGCGCCCTAGCTCCGAGATCTAGAACAAATTACAAAGTTTCTGCGCACCCATTCCTTCGCAACACCGAGGAAACAGTAAGTTTGCACCTCACAAAGTTCATTTTGCTCCACTGCCCAAAAACCCTTTGCACCCTTCCTGGGAAGTAGGTAGGGCAGGTCCTGGCACCTCATTTTAATGAGGTGAGGAATAAGGGCGGGAGGGGCAGGGAGGAGATTGGCCCTGTCCTGGGCTTTCTGTACCCTCTCAGGCCATCTCCCCCACACATGGGGGCGCGGAACCTGGTCAGGAGCCTCCCGGGCCCCCCTCCCCCTCCACAACCCCTCTCCTCCGCCACCTGCCCACCTGCTCCAGAGCAGCCCCCAGAGCCCCCAGGCCCAGCCTACGTTCTCATGCTGCATGTGCTTCAGTAGCCGCAGCTCTCGGTAGGCCCGTTTGGCAAAGATCTCGGACTGGAAGGGCCGGCTCAGCTTCTTGATGGCCACCTTCTCCCCTGATCGGTTGTCGATGGCAGAGCTGGGGGGCACGCACAGGTCGGCTTTCTTTCCTCCGCAGCAGCCCCCACGCCACACCCTGGGTGCTATCTCCCAGGCCACTCTGGTGAGCCCAGGCCATCCTCACCAAAATCCCTCCTGGCCAACGGGCTGGGCTGGGAGGAAGGGAACCCGCCACCCGGGAGGTGAGGGAGCAGCCTCAAGCGCAGTGAGGGCGACTGGGGGGGTGGGGGGCTGGGGGGCGAGGGGTCAGTTCTGCAGCGGGTCAGACCCAAGGTCATGCCAACAGGATCCAGAGTCCGGAGGGAAGCTCACTCTGCACCTTGGCAAGTCTCAGTGTACCCACTCGTAACAACGGGGATTTGCCTGGATGAACTCTAGGGTCCCTTGTAAGGTTCAAGTCCTGGAGAACCAGACCCAGTCCTAATTCAACCCACAGAGACCCCACAAAGCCGGTGAGAACAGTGAGGTGGCGTCCGTAGTGGCCGCAGGCCAGCCTCTGCCACAACCTGAGGCTTCTGGCTCATGCTGCGCTGCCCGGTCGCCTCCCCCCAGCTCCAAGCGCTTAGTGCGGGAAAAGCCCCCGCCAGGGTCTTCCGAGCCCGCGGGACTCTGGGCCTTGGGGTCCTGGCTCAAGGCGGTGGGCGGGCGGCCCCGAGAGCCCGGCAGGAGAGGGGACCCCCCCGGGGTGGGTTCCGGGCAGGGGTGCACTGGCCGGCCCGGCGGGTCGGGAGGCT